CAAAGTATTAAATGATATTGTGAAAAGTTTCTTTAAAGTTACACATGGTAATGCAACCATCTGAAAAATTGAGATGCATAGAGGAACGAATTATTGTTCGTCTTTCATTGTCACAAACACAGATTCGAGTTTTCGATTATTGGTTATTATTGTTGTAGCGATAAAAAAAATTTCAATGAATGTTTAAGAATTTTGCCAAATTATAATGACAATCCTCGGCCTGCAAAATTTCTGTATTATTTTCCGTTATGTAGACACGACGGTCGTGGGAACAGTCTACCAGTGATTGTTGTTGTTGTTGTTGTTGTTATTGTTGTGACAGTTATCCAGATTTTTTTGGACGGCAAGTTGTAAGTTAAATGTTATCAAGATCTTTTAACGGGACGCCCAGCAAGCTAACTACTATGAAACCAAGGCGCACTAACCGACGTAGCTTACGGTGATACTATTAGAAAATGTTTAAATTTTACCACAATCTTCTACATAAAATATGAATTAAATCTATTTCTCAGTCCCAATTTTAGTCACCATTAATTTTTTTGCAATTTTTTTCTTTTAATTTTTTTTTTTTTGCTCATTTTTACTAACCTCTAAAATCTCTCAACTGACCTTAAGTAAAGCTTACAAATTGTGCTGTCGCCCAGAAGTGTTTTGACATTTTTTTTGGAAACTTACCAAAATATAAATTAGTTTTTATTTGCAACACTGCAGCAACATCTTTTGTTACAAACTTCAAAAAATAAAAACAAAAATAGTAAACATAACTGTAACATGTACATGGTGAAGCAGAGACGCAAACTACTGCATAGAGCACAACAACAGTTTACACAAAAAATAAATCGAAAAATGCAATCAAGCAAACTTGAACTTGAATTGTAAAGTTTCCAAAGCAACCAAATTGGTTTTAGTTTTTGTGAATCGTTTGCTTTTTTCTAAAGCGGTTTAGGAAAGTTTAGTCAATTTGGCAAAGGTGAAAACGAGATTTAATTTTTTTTTTTTTTTTGCAAATGTTGATCAAAACTGAAAACATTATTTCACTTAAAAAAAGTGGGTTGCCACATAATATATACGAAAGTGTGTATATACATAAATATGTATGTAGATATATGTATATATGTATGTAGAAGATG